AATGTAACTTTACCCCAGGTAGTCTGGTCTCTTCTGTTTGGTTCTGTTCTTTCTTGGAAACAGTGCTGAAAGTGGCCCGTTTCATTGGAGTAACCCGTTGCATCTTGTGACCTGTTATGCACCATGGCCTGCAGTGTGAAAACCATGGGGCCTCCCTGGTGGCACAAGGGGTTAAGACACAATCTATGAGTGGAATTGCTGGATCATATGGAAGCTCTATGTTTAGTAGGCCCAGAAATCTCCACACAGCTCTCCATAGTGGTTGGACCAGTTTGCACTCCCACCAACAGTGCAGAAGAGTTCCTTTTTCTCCACACCCTTGCCAACATTTGTTGTTGCTAGTTTTTTTAATATGTGCCATTCTCACTGGTGTAAGATGGTATCTCATGGTAGTTTTGATTTGCATTTCCCTGATGGCAAGTGATGTTGAACATTTTGAACCAGAGACACTTTTTGGGGGGCGGGGGTGGGAGGGGAGGGATTGGGGTCAGAATGGGGGGGCTGCAATTGTATGGGGAATATAAAAATAAAATTTATTATTTAAAAAAAAATTAAAAAAAGGTAAAAAAAAAATTATAGCTGTGAAATAAAAGAAAGAAAGAAAAAAAAAAGACACAATCTATGAAGCTGTCCTCAGCCACTGCAGCGCGAGTTCAATCCCTGGCCAGGGAGCAACCCACATGGCACAGCAGACCTCTCCTGACTTGCCCGCTGCTCCCCTCAGCAGTGTATTTCAGTCGGTCTGCCTGTTTGTTCCCCACTCTGTCTCTGGTGAATCCTCCAGCCCGCACACATCTGGCCTGTACCCCAGTTCTTGTATGCATAAATAAAAAAGATTTGGTCCTTGCCTTGGGGCCTCACAAGCAAGAGTGGAGAACCAAACACCAGACCTGGTGGAAGGCAGCCTGATGATTGGCGCTGGCTGGTCCAAAGAGCTGTCGGGTGAGGGGAGATTCCTGAGCTGCAGGAAAGTGTTATCTCTAGAAGTTAGAATTAAGACTTAATTGAGCTGTTGTGCCTCTCTCTGGATCTCTCCCTCTTAAATCTTTCTCTATAAATCTTGTCTTTTTTTCCCTCTTGGTGCTCAAGTTTTCCAGCAAGTTGTCAATTATTCCCCAGGTGCTTTTTAATTAAAACAACAGCAACAAAACTTGACCTCGTCCATATGTTTTCACTCATCTTCCCCCTTCTACTTCTCCTATTAGTTTTCTCAAACTACATATGTGCATACAGGTGTATATTTACGTGTGCATACGTATTTATGTATATCTGCATACAAATTGTGATGAAATTGTATCCATAAATGAAGATCCTTCTTTGCTTATTATTTTGAATCCCTTAGCACTCAATGGTGCATGGTCCTGACAGTTATTATGGAAAAAAATCTGTATTCTCTAGATAAGATGCAGATCTTTCTAAAAACTCTCCTCTCAAACTTACTACCAACTCTAATTACCTGGCATCCTTCTGTCCCCTGTTAGGGGCATTTAATGGAATTTTTCCTGGCCCAAGAAACTGCAGCATTCTCCCCTGCATATTTCCATTTTAAAAGTTTCAAGTCGACCTTTTTACTATTCCGAACTGTTACATGAAACCACAGTGAAGACTTGCAAACAAAATCCAGTGCCAGCCCTTGCTGGCTCCCCCACACCCTGCTGAGTGTTCCCCAAGGCGAGGACATGGGAGGAATGGAGAGATTAACAGTGTTCCCTGGGTGTGTCCTGACAGTGGGCGCCCCGCCCCCATTAATTAATTAATTTTTACATTTTAAAAGGACAGGTTTAATAGAAAAAGGAGGAAAAAAAGAGACATCTGCATAGTCGCTGGAGGGCAGGGGAGCTGCCTGAAGATGCTTTTCTTGTTTAATATTGGTTTACTTTGGAATTTTGAAGCATGTGAGCCTTAAATACTTGTCTCATTTGTAGAAACCTGTCAGCCGTCCCAAGCCCCTTTTGCACTGCAGAACTGATCCACCATCCAGAGCCTGCCCACGTCTGCAGTGAGCAGGTCCCGTGAACATGCTGGCCACTTTGGGAATCAAGCCTGACTTATGAGGAGGACGTTGGCTGTGCCAAGACCTGGGCCAAAGCAAGCTCCTTGCAGCTAGGTGGTTGTGAGCCAGGGAGGAGCTACCATAGAGGGCACTGGGGTGAGGGTGCCTTGGAGGCAGATTGGGAGCTGGTAGAAATAAAGGGCCCATCTGAGAATGTAGAAAAGCTCTTGTGAATTTGCTAAGCCTGAGCCAGCAGCACTGGGGGACTGTAACTTGACTCTTCGGTCTCCATAGCAGGTGCTGGGTGCCCCTCCCTCTGCCACTGTGGGTATTTGGTTTTGTTGTTATTGTTGTTTTTTTAAATGGACGGCTTTGGGGAAATCAGGCTAGATTTAAGGAAAGGCATTGTATGGACCTGCTTTGTTCCCTTCCTTCCATCTGAAAAGTCACACCACACACCACTGACTGAGCCCCTACAGGTCCTGCCCTTTCCAGACTTGGCCTTCATGCTGCCTCTGCCCTTTGCAACAAGGGAACCATCCCTTTACTGAAGAGGAAACTGACTTTCTTTGGGACTGTGATTTGCCCAGGGCCGCCACCCAGTACACATCTGATGGGTTCTAGAATATTCTTTTTCTTCTTATTACTCTCCCACCTGCCTCTTGCACTGGGATCAGCTCCTCCCACACCCTCCTGCAAGTCCCCCCCCCCCACCCAAATCTCCCCACAACCCTGTGGTTTTTTCCATTGAATCTAAAGAGTAAGGTGTTGTCATGAACAAGATACCCAGGTCAGGATTAAGAGAAACCACATTCTTGGCTTAATTTTGTTCTTTCCCTAAGAGTGTCAGTTGTCCCTCATTTCTTTGTCATATTTTTATTCCCTGTAAGATTAAACGGCCCCACCCTGAAAGCCACCTTGATGAAAACAAAAGCCACTGGGTTCCCAGGACTGAGGCAGCAATGCCACCTATGGGCCCGCCCTCCAGGTAGCTGGGTGGGTTCTAGAGCTGGGGCAGACACAGGCCTGTGAAGGGCCACACTGGACTTGCTCCACCTTGTCCACACTCAGTGGTTATAGTCTGCTGCTCTCCCTCCTCAGCCCTCCCCCTCAGATGTTGGCTTTTTCCTAAAAAGCGTGCCTGCTGTGCAGTTTTCCAAAGCACAGGGTGGAGGGTCTAGGGCAGGCCATTTGGTGTCCCGCCTGCATTTTTTGGAAAGTCTCATCGGTGCCCTGAACTATTCTGGGCTTGAAAATGTGCGCGCAAAAGGAAAGGCCACATAAGCATGTTGAATTTTCCAAAGTTGAAATCTTTCCTGGCTTTAAACATCTGGATGATTAAACTGAGAACTTGGGTGTTTAGCTGAGGCAGGTCAGCCTAACTGGGGCTTCTCCATGTTGGGGTGCTGAGCCCTTAGCCTGGGTGGGTGAGTGGAGTTATCTGAGGCTCCAGCCCCAACCTTGTCTTTGAGCAGTGCCCCTGTTCACTTTGCACCAGAAAGAGTGGACCCAGCTACACTGCTGGCTGATAGTAAGGGATTTTAATGGGTTCTGTAAATAGGTTGTGACTATTTGGTGAACTCATGAGTGAAATACAAATTTTTAGAGGCTTCTTTAAAGATTTTTAGAAATCACTGATTTTTAGTTCTCCTTCTAAGGGCTTTCTTGAACTTTCCCCTGTTACAATAGTGAAACAATTTTCTTGTTTGCTTTCTAAATCTTCCTGTCGTACAATAGTCCTGAAAATAAAAGAGTCTGTTGGCTGGAAGCAGGGGGTGGGTGCGGGTTTATGTAATTTGACTTCTTTTCTCTCCAAATCAGTAAATATTTACATATGACCTTATCCAGCAGCTTGGGTACATTCGGTCACTTGAAAGCGTGTGTTGGGAGCAGGGACTGCCCATCGGCCTGCTGCCAGTTCCACTGGGCCTCAGAGTAAGGACTTATTATTACTATTATTATTTTTATAAAATGCGCTCCAAAAACCTCCAACCAAAATGGGTCTGAGAGCCAAACTCCCTCTTTCTACAGAACCAGGTTTAAGAAATTTGCGTGTTAAAGTTTGGCTTCTAAAGATTCTACTCATTTTGGTCTGGAGCAGAGTTCAGGGAAACTCAGGAATCCAAAAAATAAATATTGGATTTTTGGCTGAGGTTTCCCACCGCTGTCTGAGTTCTTTTCTTTCTTGGGGAAGGTAATTACAGAATTCCATTTAAGCTTAAATGTCATTCTTTTGTGAGTAGGTAGGAAAAAACAAGTGGATTACTTTCCTGTTTTTGTAAGGTGGTACCAGTATCATATGGTTTAAAAACCTAATCTCTGGGCCTCCCTGGTGGTGCAGGGGTTAAAGATAGTGCTATCAAGCTACTGCAACATGATTCCATCCAGGGCCAGGGAGCTGACTCTCATAGCACAGCAGACCTCTCCTGTCCCACCCGCTGCTCCCCTCAGCAGTGAATTTCACTCAGTCCGCCTGTTCTCTGGTGTCCGCCCCAGTCCGCCCCACTCTGTCTCTGGTGAGTCCTCTTACCCTGCCCCCCCCCACCTCTGGCCTACACCCAAGATCTTGTATGTATAAATAAATAAATCTTAAAAAGAATAAAAACCTACTCTCTGATTTTTATAGCAGACAGTTTTGAGGGTAGCTCAGTCCCCTTTCAACGTCTGAAATCTGACATGTCAAGAACTCTTTTAGAAGTGAATACACATGTTTGTCAAAGTTGACACTGGAAAAATAATAAAAGAATCTGAGGTTGGAGGGCATTACGATATGAAAATGACAATATTATTATGTTATTATCATCTGGTAATAACATGTTCATTTCATCTGTCAAACTTATTAAGAGTAAGACTGAAACTTATGCTGTGGACTTCCTGTTATCAGAATACAATAATATAGCAGTTAAGGCTGGCAGTCAATAAGTGTGATAATAGCTATCCATTACTTACTGCCAATTGCTTAAATGTTTCGGTATTAATCACTTTCATATTTTAATTTTCTTTGCAGAGTATTGGGAAAGGGTCGTTGTGGTGCATAGACCCAGAGTATAGACAAAATCTTATTCAGGCTTTGAAAAAGACACCTTACCACCCATACTCACACGTGTTCAACACACCGCCCGCCTCTCCTCAGGCATATCAAAGGTAAGTCATCAAGACTTTTTTTTTGTCTGCTGAAGTTGCATTATTTTGGCAGAGACAGGGCTGAAACTGACTTAATTGGCTGTGATTCTTCAAAAATAACCAGAGATAAATGAGAAAGACATTAAGTATCATTGGAGGCACATTGTGGGAAGTTTCTACACACCTTACCGCTTTTGCTGCTGCTTCCAAGGAATGCATTTCCAGAAGGCTTCATGGTGGCTGAAATAATGTCCTCCTGGGTAGGAACATTTACAAAACAAAGCTGACAGCTTGAAAATCTCAGCCCATCATGGTATGTTGGGGTGAGAGTGCAGGAATGCACCCAGCCAGCAATGCTGTCTTCTCCCCATCTGACCGAGTGTCCACAGGTATTCACTGAAGAGCTGGTTCCGGTGTTGTCGTTTCCCGTCTCCATGCAGACGGTGCTCCTGAGTGATCATTTTGTTGTGGTTACGTGGTGTTTGCCTCTTCAAGGAGAACAGCAGAGAACAATGGAGACTTTCATTGCCCTCACATGCCCGTTTGTTTTGAGACAGGGAGGTGATGGGTGCCATTTTCACACAGATGTAAGTAGGCAGGACCATATGTAGCGAATCACATTTTTTAAAAAGTGTATTCATGTTAGATTTCAAAAACTAGCCACATAACACACAGCTGAATTGTAAAATTGCTTTTTATATTATAGTGTGTCGGGTTTGAGATGTTTGCCTCAATCCTACACACACACACACACACACACACACACACACACACACACACACACACACACACACACTTTGAATGTGTACACGTTTCTGTTGTAACCATCCAGGCAAGAGGGATCACCACCCTCGGACTACAAGTGTATGGCAATGAGGGATGGCAGGCATTCATAGATTGCAGTAGTTTCACAGTCACTTCTTTGCAGATTCTTTCCTTAGCCTGACGTTTGTTCTGCAGAAGAGGCACAAAGTGATCTTAAACAGCGTTAATGAAGTTCTTGTGCATCTCAGCTTAGAAGCATTCCTTCATAGCCCCTGGACAATCAGTCTTCAGCAAGAGACAGGGAGGAACAGCTGGGCTCTCTGAGAAGACTGCTGTATGTCTGCCTTTGCTAGGCGATTAGCGTGATGGTAGCCATAGCAACTGGAGCGTCTCCATAGTAACGCGTAGCCCAGACAGGTGCAGTTGCATCACAAGGCTGTTTGTTGCCTGGCAAAAGGACAGGCCATTAGTACTTAGATATACGCTGTTGCCTTAGAAACAAATAGCCCTACATAGCAACTACATTGGTTTGAAAGATTTGGGGGGGGAAAAAAGGTTGTAGCAGCTTTTGTCTGTGTTCATAAAAATCAGTGGAAGCACACTTTATTGGAAATGACAACTTGAGGTCATGTAGCTGTAGGAGATAAAATGGATTTTCCAAAGCAGTCCAGCCCACATTGTAGAAATGTCCAGAAGGACAGAGCCATATGCTTAGTTTTCTCCTTGTGGCTGTAACTACTCCTGAAATGGAAGAGAACTAGGATTGGAGTGGAGAGTTCCTGATACACGAAGTTGGGGGGATGGGGGAGGCGAAATGATACCAATTATTGGAGTAGTTCCCAGATTCTCATGCGCCTTTGTCATTCTCCTTCACCATCCTCCAAACCCCACCGCACACCCTGCGTTTTCCTCCCCAATTTGTGCCTCGGAAGTATTTCATGTCCTTTTGTTTCCAGAAGTTAAGAATGTAAGTGTGTTATTCACTGGGTCACATCATTGGTTCATTTAGACTAGTATTTTGTTGCCAAATGTGACCCCAAGGGAACCACAGTAATTATTTAATAATTTGAAGGATTATGGCAGAGCCCTGGGGATTGCAAGAGGCACATACTCTCAGGCAGAGGCTTTCTGAGCTGGCCTAAGCTTAATGACTTCATTTGATTTTTTAATATAGGCATAAAAATGCAGCCGAACCAGAGCTTTTATAAGGAAGATAATTTCCAGGAATACTTTGACTACTCCAGCTCCTTTTCTCCCAGGTGACTTAAAGGGGGAAAAGAATGTTTCCAAATCTGCCCATGCAGGCCTTGGGTTTCACCTCCATAAAGGTCACTGGATGAGGAAGGAGCTGACAGATTCTAACCTGCCTCCTTCCTGTCTTAATGGTGAGAACAAGTCACTTTCCCTTTCCTGGAGACTGTAACCCCTTCATCGGAAAGTAGTATCCCCCGGTGTGTGGAATGGTACTAGGGCTCAGGCCCCTGGACGGTAGTGTTCCCTTCTCAGCCATCAGCCATTGTTGACATGACTTAGGGCAGACTGGAAGCTGGGCTAAGTGAGTCCTTCTGGGTCTACCGAGATGCGGGGAGTTAGCTGTCAGCTCTTTCCAGAGCTGCTGTGGGGGCCCCGGGGAAGGAGCTGGTACTTAGCGTGATGATGATGGTGATGATGTGCTGGGTGGTTAGTGCTAGCACTTGCAGATGTGCTTGGCAGGTAGCACTTGGATCCAGCAACAGGTGACTGAAAAGTGCTGGGAGAACCAACTGTCTGAGAATACAACCCTCAGACCGTGCACCCATCCAAACAGAATGCCAGGGCTGCGGTCTGTGCACCCCTTTGGGTGTTTGCTAGGATGCGCCTCTCTGCATGCTTCTTTTGTCCCGGCATTTGTGGAGTTTTTTCATTGAAATATAGTTTGGTGGCCTCAGCCACCGAAATGATTAGCTTGCTGGGGTGGCTGTCACAAAGCAGCAGTGAGGTAACTTAATGGAATTTATTCTCAGCTCTGGAGGCTAGAAGTTCACGATCAGGTCGCCAAGGTTTGCTTCCTTCTGAGGACTATGAGGGAGACACTGGCCTAGAGCTCTCCCCCTGCCTTGAGGGCTCGCAGGCCATCTCTGGTATCTGTGGCATATGTAAGCATCATGCCAGGCTCAGCCTCCATCTCCATGTAGTGTGTGGCCCCCTGGGTCCAGACTCCCCTGCTTTTATTAGGATGCTGATCACATTGGATTTGAGGCCACCTTACTCCACTATGACCTCAACTCAGCTGATTACATCTTCAGTAGCTATTCTCAAGTAATACTGGCGTGATATACTGTGAATATGGGTGGGGGGCAACTTTCAACCCAAGATAGCTTTTTCCTGAGGAAGACATTTTTTGCTGGGTTAAAAATATAGGAAAACAGAAAGTAAGGACGCGTTGGAAAAGCAAAATGATGGGACGTGTCAAAGGGAGACAGGTGCCAACCTTGAAATCGCAACCTTGTAATTGACCAAAACTGGAATACTTTGAGCCCCCAAATAACCTAGCATGAGTTCTAACCCCAAATAGAAAATAAATCTGTGTCCACACTGGTAGAAATAAATGATTGAATAACTAAATAAATGGGAGAAGAGACAAATATCCAGTGCAGAAGAATTTCAAATCATTTATGTAGATAATGCCTCCATCCGGGGGATTAGAGCTTCCCTCTGCATCCCCAAGTGGCAACACTTCTGGACTTACTCCCAAAGAGTGGAGGTTGGAAAGCAGTTCCTCAAGCAGGTGATCCAAGTCACATCATCTTGGTGTGAAGTTGACAGCATGTACCTTGGATAGGATGTCATGAAATGGACACTGCACCCCTGTGGTCTTCCTCCCCCAACGCCATAACGCTGGTCCAGTCATGGGGAAAACATCGGGCAGTGGTTTGGTCCCCAAGGGGACACTCTCCAAAGCCCTGATCAGCACTCCTCAAAGCTGCCAAGGTCATCAAAAGCCAGGAAAGTCTGAGGACCTGTCACAGAGCAGAGGAAGCGGAGGAGACATGCTGGCTGATCTGGTGATGTGATACGCCGGGTGCGTTCCTGGAACAGAGGAAGGACATGCGGGGAAAGCTAGTGAAATGTGAATCAGGGTGCAGGTCAGCTGATAGCAGCATATCCCGTGTCCATGTCTTGGTTGTGACGAAGCTCCATAGTAAGGTCAGACATTGACATTGGGGAAACCAAGTGAAGGGTAGAGGGGAAGTCTCTATACTGTCGTTGTAACTTTTCTGTGAGCAAAAAAGCAGCCCCCAACACACAGGAATCGTTGAGTTGATTGATCGTAGATAGCCCAGTCACTTTTGGTGTCATGAAAAGTAAAATCGCTGCGTGGCCGAGCAGTTGCCTGATCTGTTCTAGTGTCTATTTTCCTTACCACACATTGGAAGAGCTGACTACCCGGAGGTCTTGACTCTTCCTCGTTCTCTGTAGGATCTGTAGAGTCTCTGGAGGGGCATCTCTCTAATTCGGATATTATAGCTCTTGGAAATTTCTTTTGTGAAATGGTTCTCAGCTGGAGCTGACCAAGCCATGGGTGAGCTTCCTCTAGGATGCTAATCCTTTGCCCGGTCACCTGCTGACTAGAGCTGGCGAGAGGGGGCGGGGCGGCCAGGTGATGTGTGTAGGTTTCTTGCCCAACCCCCTTCAGAAAGGTCCTGCTGCCGGTCTAAATGGTTATGTGGATAAGCCGCTCTGTCCTTCCTTCCTTAATGGATTTTCTCATCAAGTTGTGTAGTACTATGGATATTGCCAGAATGCCTTCTGATTTTATACTTTGTTCCAGTCTACACTCCCAGCAACTTTTTAGGGTGTTTCTGTTTTCTAAATTTTCTTTAAGTGATGATTAAATAAAGCGGTCTCCTAGTGGGCACTTTTGTGATTTTGTTACTTGATTGTGGGGACATTTAAATGTTCTGATACTTTTGAATCCCCTGTAAATAGCAAGTGCCCCAAAACCTTATGTATGGCCACAGATTGTTTTCAAAAGTTCCACATGTGGATATTTTAGTATGGGCTGGTCCTGTTTACAGAGAAAACATTTTTGTAAACTTTCACCCTAGGCAGGAACAGGTTTTACAATGAATCAAAGTTTGTTTTATAAAAAGTTTACTAGACTATCAGTTTGCCGAGAAGGGAAACTTAATAAAATATACCTAATTTGAGAGCTAGAGGCAGTGTTATTTTGCACTTCCTTGGTAAATCAAAGGAAAGTCCAGCTCTTACAGGCC